AACTCTCGCGGCCCGGTACCAAACGATTCACGGACCGGTACCGGTCCAAGGCCCGGGGGTTGGCGACCGCTGCTTTAGTTCATATTTGGTTTTGTGTAACTGTCTCATTGCTCTGAAGTCTGTTTCTGGAATATACTTCCTGTTTACTCTTTTGTTGTGGATGTGGAACGGGAATGTTGTGAAGGAGTTAAATTGTTGGTAAGGAATTGTTAAATATGCACATAACTCATTGAAACATATTGGTATAATTGTAGTATATTTGTATATGTTGTATATTTTGCTCTAATGTTATTGTATTTTTGCACACCTCTGTTGCTTGTGAAGCTCGCACACAAGAATTTCACTCGCATGTGCTGTACCAGTGTACCTGCACATGTGATGTGACAATAAAAGTGATTTGATTTGATTTTTGACATTTTTTAAAGGAGCCTTGTGTGATTTAGCTCTTTGTATTTTGTTCTGCACAGACAGAGGCAACTGTCATATTTTTGTGTTTTGTAGTTTATTTCATTTCCTTTATTCCTCATATTGTACTGGCGCATCTTTGTTTAATCGTTTATTCTGTTAATTCCCACGTTATCTCTCATGCTGTCGATGTTCAGTGCAAGTCCATATGGAAGCTGTTTGACAAAAGTTAGGGTCAAAGGACATTTTTGTTTATTTAGTCGTCATTGACAATAAAAACTGCGTATTACAAACCCCAGTAATTGTGTCCTGTGTCCCTCTCCCCATCCCCAGGCTTGTCCAGGGAAACACCAAGGCATTCCCCGGCCAACAAATCCACAGAACAGAGACAGAACCAAACTCAGTAGCCAAACAGTCTGCCCTCAGTGCAGATTGATTTGGCTGAGAGTCCCAGATTTGGCTCTAGACTGATACGACACTGATATGTTTATCAGAAAAACTCCTTAGACAGTGACGAATGAAGAAGCTTCCCAACAATCTAAACCAACTGGTCTTCTCCATGTGGAGGTCATACCTGCAAACCAGCCGATTAACAAGAATTGTAAGAGGAGGGTTGTGCTTTCACAACAGAGCTGCACTAAATATGGAACAAAAGATTTAATTTATACACCATGTCAGTGCAATGTTTATCATTCTGAAAATATATTTCCATCTATCCTCTTCTGCTTATCCAATTCTAAAGAGAGGCGAGAGCTCACCTCAGCTGGCAAACAGCAGAGTACACCCAATACTGGTTGTTAATCTGTCACTCACTCAGACAGACAACAGGCACAAGCAGCCATTCACACCTGTGAACATGTATTTATACATCCAATGGATGCCTCGGAGAGCAACTTGGATATCTGGCAGGCAGACAGCAGCAGACGGGGATCTAACCAACAACATGCCATCCTCCTCCCTTTGGTCCAGAGAATATCCTTCTAACCATTATCAAGTGTGACGTGTAAGCATGCTGCAAAACCCTCTAAGCTATTACGTCAACCCTAAAAATTTCACCCCAAACATACTGCTGGACCCTCAAAACACATAGCACCAACTCATTTGTGGGCACAGTGTATTGTATATATAAAAATAATAATCACAGCAGTCACACATGTGTCCACTGTACCATCTGGAACTCTTCTTGTTTAGCATTCGTAATAACACAAACACTAAATCCTCCTGTTTGTAGCAGTGTATACACCTGAGACTGTCACCTGTCTGTCTGTCCTGCACTCTCTCTCTGTTTCTTTCTCTCTGATTGTGGAATAAAAGTATGAACATGTGTTTATAAGTTACACTTGTGTTTGAATCCTGCAGCTTATCACACATTTGATTTCCATGTGTGACAACCAGAGATGGGCAGTAACGCGTTACTTGTAGCAAAGGCATGACTTGGAGAAAATAATACATGCTTAATCTCAACTCGGCTCGACAATTGCAATGCACTTCATGCTGGAGTCAGCCCAGCATCCCTCTCATGTCTTCTGCTTGTTCAAAAAGCTGCTGCCGTCTCTTAACTGGTACACAGGCATGAACATGTCTCACCCATCCTGTCCTCCCTTCATTGGCTTCTAGCCCTTGGATGGTGTTACTGTCATGGTCCTGGGTCTGTGTTCCAGTGTTTTGATTTTGTATTATTATTTTTTATTAATCTGTGGTTTCTACTTGGTTCATGTTTACTAGTGTTTCTATTTTGTACTTCTAGTTCTTAGGTTTTGGATTCCTTTGCTCCTCATGTCACTCTGGTCGCTCTACTCTGTTTCTGTAAGTTCAGTCCTTGGGTCCTTCTCTCATCTCCACACGGCTTGCCTTGCAAACCCTGACAGTTTCACTTCTTATCCGAGAAGCTTCTTCAGTTCTGAGGTCAAATGGTGGAGAGTCCCAGATTTAAGCCCTGGAAGGGTGCCTTTATATATTAGACAGGCATCTCCGCTTCCTGTTTTTAAGTCTCTTTTGAAAACACATCATCAATAGTGTTTGGACCAGTGTAGGTTTATATGCTCTTTTTATTGCATTTCATTTAATGTGAATGTGTAAGTGGTTTTCTTTTCTTTCATGTCTTGTTTTGTTTTTGGACAGAGTTTTGGGCAAACCTGCTGTTTCTAAATGTGCTATATAAATCAGTTGGATTTTGATGGAAACTATGGTTTGATTAAGAGAGAAATAAAATAACCAAATATATGTTCATCAATAACATTTTATTAATAACAAACAAGAATGATGGTGCTATACATTACTTTTCCTATCTCTATTATTTGTGTTCCTCACTGTGAGCACTGGAGGGAAGTGAACACGATAATTTAAAGTCAAGAAGACACAAAAAAAATCATATTACACCATAAACTCTTCATTAAAACATGAAAAACACCCACATGATGATTATCTACTACATCTGCTACTAATAAGAATGTAGTTCATTTTGAAGGTCATGGCCACTCAACAGTTGTCATCACTCAATTTTAATATGATCGGCTTTGTTTTTGTATTGATGTGAAGGAAAGGAAATTTGAGTACATGAAGCTGGGAGAAGTTACATTAAGGAAGTTAAGGAAATGAGCTCTGCTGAGGCTGTGTCTAAGTTGAAGTTGATTGTTTTTTGCCATTTACTTATTTCCACTCAGAGCCCTTTCAAAGACTTTCAGAGCATCCTCAGCAAGCGTGTCAAGGAAATAATTCAGAGCGGTGTAGGTTGTGCAAAAGGACAAGCTCATTCCTGCTGCAAATCCAAATACTGGAATCCATTTGGCTGCTTCCCCCGTTGCTTGTAGTACAGCTGTCTGTGCAAGTGAGGTCAACACCTTCATAATTTGACCTTTATCTATTTCTTGTTTAGCCAGTGAGGATTTCATGACATCACACAGATCAGAGTATGGCACACCTGTGTTGGCAGCAAGTCTCTCCAGTGATGGTTTATCAAGACCAAACCCATCTACATACTGTGTGACAACAGCAGCCATCATGCTGACGTCAATCGTTTCAGGAAGTAAAGGAATTGGAACACCTCCTGCAGCTGCAGACAGAAAAGCGTTGTATTTTATTCTGGACTGAAAAGCTGCTTTCTTCTTGTTGATGATCTCCAAGCTGATGCTGGATGTGGCAAACAGCAGAGCATCTCTCTGGTGTTCAGGAAGGTCTTCCTCTAAGGTCTCATGTAAGAGAGAGAAATCATACAGGCGGAGCTCAAAGCTCGACACCAGGAAGACCTGTGGAGACTCCACGCCTAGTTTTTTAAGATCTGTGAATAAATCAGAAAAATGATTCAGAATATAATCTGACCATGAAACAATAATGTTTACATTTACAGTGGGGCAAAAAAGTATTTAGTCAGCCACCGATTGTGCAAGTTCCCCCACTTAAAATGATGACAGAGGTCAGTAATTTG